TAAGGTATTGCTATTTCCAAATTTTAAGAAAGTGTGCCTTGCTGTTTTCTACAGGGGTTGTACCATTTTACAGTCCCACCAACAATGTTGGAGGGTCTCAGTCTTTCCACACCCTTGCCAGCATTTGTTGTTTTCTCTTCTTTTTGAACTTTGCTGTTACTGCTGATGTTACGTGGTTTCTCACTGTTTTTATTTTTTAGTTGCTTCTCTCTAATGGCTATTGATGGTAAATATTTTTAATATGTTTATTGGCTACCTATCTTTGGTGAAGCGTCTATTTTCTGCCCATCTTTATACTAGGATATTTATCTTTTGCTTGTAGAAGTGTTGTAGTATTTTTTCTTTTAATGTATAAATTTTAGATATTAGTCTGCTGTCTGATGTGTCATTGCAAAAATTTATTTTTCCAGTCTGTGGGCTCTCTGTTTACTCTTTCAGTGAAATCTTTTGATTCACATAATTGTCTAACTTTTTTTCTTCCACTGTTTGTGTGTTTTTATTGTGTATGATTGTATATTTATGCCAAGCCCCTAAACTTGTCTTTTTTTTTTTTTCATTGATAATCTTTATAGTTCTTGGCTTTACCTTTAAGTATTTAACCCATGTTGAATTTGTTTTTATATATGGTGGGAGATATAGGTATTGTTTCATTTTCCTGCAAATGGATTTCCAGGTTTGCTAACACCATTTATTGAAGATACTATCTCTTCCCCATCTAATGTGCTTTGGCACTTTGTCAAAGATTAGCTGACTATATGTGTATGGATTTATTTTCTGGTTCTCAATTTTGTTCCATTGATCTATGTATCTATCATTTTACCAGTACCAGAGTGTTTTGACCACTGTGGTTGTATAGTAGATTTCAAAATCAAGACGTGAGGGACCTCAAACTTTGTTCTGCTATTTAAGTAATGCTATGCTTGTCTAAGGGCTCTCTTTTGCATATAAAGCAATGATCAGTTTTTTCATCTGTTTATAGAAAGTTATTGGAATCTGGATTGGGATTGCATTCTATCTAGAGATTGCTTTGAGTAGTGGTGACATTTTCACAGTGTTAAATGTCTCTATACATGTGCATAGTATATTCTTTTTTCTTTGAGTCTCTTTTGGCATCTTACAGTTGTGTTTTGTAGTTTTCTTTGTATAGGTCTTTTGTTTATTGGGTTAGACTTATTCCTCAGTATTTAATCTTTTGGGTTGCATTGTAAATGGTATTGTTTTCCTGATTTTCTCTTCAGAGTCTGTTAGTGTGAAAGAATTGGACTAATTTTTGAATGTTGATCTTTTACCTTGTCACTTTGTTTATTTTTTCAATGAATTCCGTGAATTTTCTTGCTGAATTTTCTAAGTACTGGAACATATCATCTGCAAAGAGAGTTTTACTTTGTCAATTTGGATGTCTTTAATTTCCCTTTCTTGCCTCTGGTTATGATTTCCAGCACAATATTGAATAGGAATGGTGAGAAAGGGCATCTTTGTCTGGTTCCTGCTCACAAAAAGAATGTGTTCTGTTTTTCTTTAATGAGTATAATGCTGGTTGTTAGATTTGTATATATGCCCTTA